CTGAAAGCTCACTATCTACACAGGTTTTCCATCACCATTTATTTTCTCAGCATCCTGTTAATTTCTGATAAGGTCCTTGCTTCATATATCATTATATACCCAGTATGTAGCACAAAATAACACTGAAATATGTTCACTGAATAATCATACTAGAATCAATAAGACCCAAAGACTCAACATTTTGAGAAGGACCCATTGATCTCTTTGGCATCTGCCAATGGGAAGGATGATGATAAACATTAGCAATAACAGGGGGACTTCCCTGGTAGCACAGTGGTTAAGAATCCGCCTGCCAACGTAGGGGACATGGGTTAAAGCCTGGTCTGGGAAGATCCCACGTGCTGCGGAGCAGCTAAGCCCGTGGGCCACAACTACTGAACCTGTGCTCTAGAGCCCACAAACTACAACTGCTGAGCCCGCGTGCCACAACTACTGAAGCCTGCACGCCTAGAGCCCGTGCTCCACCACGAGAAGCCACTGCAGTGAGAAGCCTGCGCACTGCATCAAAGAGTAGCCCCTGCTCGCCTCAACTAGAGAAAGCCTGCATGCAGCAACGAAGACCCAATGCAGCCAAAAATAAATAAAATAAATTTATTAAAAAAAAATAACAGGGAATAAAGGAGAATAAACAAGTTAAGTGCCTTTTGTGGGGGAAAGAGGCAGGCATTTGAGATGAACTGAATAATGGATATATTGAATTTGAAGTAGAAAATTTAAACAGGAAGTTAGAAATACGTCTGAGACATCTGAAAGTCAAAAATACAGTAGTGACTAAGAACATGGTCTTTAGAGTCAGTCTGCCTAGGTTTAAATCCCAGCTCTGCTACTCCTAGTTATAGGATCTTAGATCTTAGGCAGATTACTTAACCTCTGGGCCCCAATAATCTATAGTGTCAAAAAACAAAACAAATAACAAAAAAAAACCCACCACCAACCAAAGAAACCAATTGTGCTCACCTCATTGGGTTTTTTTAGGATTAAAGGACTAAATACTGAAGCATCGGAATAACAGCAAAAAACAAAAACAAAAAACACAGTATATTTCGAAATTTACAGTGAAAACAAAAAGAACCAGAACCCCAAGTAACGATAACTGAGACCAAAGGAGAGGAAATATATGAAAAGTGATAAGTGGACCAAAGGGAAAATAAGAAATTACAGAATATAGGCCAAAAAAAGGATTTTGAGGAAGAAACTGTCAAAAGCAGAAAGTGTTGGTTAAGTGCATATAACCTGTAAGAAGGCCTCAAGATTTGGCAATTTGAAGGTCAATCACCAACAGAAAGAAGTGTTCTACAAAGTGTTTAGATAGGTATAAGGAGAGAGAGCAAAAAAAGACTACACAGCAGGATTAAGGGGTAAATGGAGAAAAGAAATCTAGATTAGGGGTCCCTAGACTTTCTGTTTCCAAGGACTTCAAAAAAGAAACAGGGAGAATATGACATAAGATTGTGAACTCTTAATTCTATCAAATAAAAATTTTTTTACTCTACTGCCACCACCATTTGAAAACGGAAAACTGCATAACAGCAAGTCTTTATAAAGGCTAAAACTCTCGGAATAAAAGGAACACCTTTATGAAAAATCTCTATACTGTTCTTATTTTTTATAATTTCATAGTAGATTTATAAAAATCTTGTAATAGAAAAGGAACACGGATTTGCAAATCATTATTCTAGACTACCCTAAGAAAACCCTGGCAATAACAGATTAAAAGGGAAACAATTACCTCCCCCCATTAAAAATGAAGAAATCAAGTTATGTCTGAGAGAAACATCTCCTATTAACTTAAGATCTTTAGATGGCAATATCTGTCACGTTATGACAAATCTGTATGCCAGAGTATGCAAACACAAACACTAATTAAAAGTTTACACTTGGGCTTCCCTGGTGGCGCAGTGGTTGAGAGTCCGCCTGCAGATGCAGGGGACACGGGTTCGTGCCCCGGTCAGGGAAGATCCCACATGCCGCAGAGCGGCTAGACCCGTGAGCCATGGCTGCTGAGCCGGCTTGGCCCGAACCGAAAACCAGCGAGAACACAAGAAGAAAGAGGGAGAGGCCCGCCAACAGCAAAAAAAAAAAAAAAAAAAAGAAGTTTACAGTTGCTGGAGAATTAGTAGTTTTAGAATACAAACTCCAGGACTACATTTTCTATGTATTACCTATACCATATTTTTATAGTTGGCACACAAGCATTTTGTATATACCATAAGTGCATTTATTACACACTAACTACAGAAAAAAATATAAGGACATATTTGCAATATATATAAACTAGACCTGGCATGCCATGGGGGCTCAATAAAACTTTTTTGAAATGTACTGAAGTGGTGTATGCCACATAATGAATTACAAGTCCGATTCCATTTCTACAAAAAATACCAAAACAACACAATGGTTTCAAGAGTGGTAATAAGACCAAACAAAGCCTTTGGATTCAGATAAACCTGGGTTCAAATCTCAGCTGCAATACTTTATAGCTGGCAAAGTTATTTAAACTGTTTGTGTTTCCTCATCTGTAAAACAGAAATGATACCTACCTCATAAGGTTGTAGTGCTGATGAAATGGCAGTTATAATTTCTATTTAATGTGACTGCCAAAATCTCACAAGCAGTCCAGTCCATTTTTTCCCCAAGTCCTAGACCAAATCAATCCAAATCTCTGGAGGATGAGACAAAGGCCTGCATACTTTTTATAGTTTTACAAGTGATTACCACTAGCACTCTCTTCTAGAAATCACTGTCCTAGAGCCTTATTAACAAAGCTTTACCTAAGTCCCAGGTAAAGAAACATCACAAAGATGAAAGAGCGTTAAGACATCCTTTGGTTTAGTTCCAATCTTCTAAGAAAGACCTTTACCCAAAATTCCTTTTACAGGGAAGAGAACCATAATGCAAACTTCCAGTTTAAAATCCTTTCCAAAGCCAGGAAATTTAATTCCACACTGAAATTTTATATCAAAATGAGGTATACCTTAGCCTCGTTGTATTCATTATTGAATAGTTTAAATACTGAATACTTTAAATAATGTATAGATGAACAGTGTACCCAAGGATGTATACCATAACGATATGCAACTTCTCTTATTTCTGTTATCTTTCTTAAAATTAAGTTTAAGTTTACAATTTAAATCCATTCACGCTTCACTTAAACTTTCCCAATAAATTTTTTATTCAACACATACATTTTAAAATGTGCATCTCACAAGCATTCTTACTAAAGACTGAAGCCGTGTAAAGCAAATTCAGCATTCCAGAAGCAAACCTGAAATCCTAATAACTAAGTAGCCCAATAAAACATTTTAGAGAAATATACAGAGCAAAAATACACAATCATGAACATTTTATTCCAAAAGAATCAGTGTGAAATAATAAAAATTCCTGGAAAAAAATTAAGAGTCTAGAAACACTGCAGAACTTCAAAAAAAAAAAAAAGCAAACAAAAAAAGTTTAGAATGGCTATATCAGAACTAATATGCCAACTGTAGATAAACTGAAAGCAAGCAAGCAAAATGAATCTTCCTTAAAAGACTTCGGTCAAGAAGAGAATTAGAAGGGAAAAGCAAGGGCTAGGGTAGACAATATAGATAGACCTCACTGTTGTATAAATTTTTTACTAATTTAGACACAAGACGTTTTTCAGCTACTTACACCAGTGAAACTTATGAATGACTAATGCAATTGCTAACTTTAAAAGTGTTTACATTCAAGCTTTTCTATAACAGTACAAAGGTTATAAACACTGTATCAGGGACTGGTGAAATATTATTTAGTGAGCCCAAGCCTCAATGCATTAGTAAATGCACTTTTTAAAAATAAATGCCTCACACCAAATATTAAGTTTGCACATGGTGTAGTAAAAGTTGTACATCAATAGAACTCTATACATCCCAGATATTTTAAAGCAGACTACACACACAAAAAAAACAATTTTGACTTTAGCTTTTTAAATGTTATATTTTTAAGAGCCCAATAGTATATCAAAGCACTAAAACACTGAATTCACTAACAGGTGTTAATTTATAATTAACTTTCTCAAGACTTGGTAAAGTGTCAAAATATACGTTTCTTACTTTTCAAAAGTTTAACTTTCCCAACTTTGTAGAGACAAATAAAAGTCGACTGGTTCAAAATCAAACTGAAGATATACATATTTGTTTGAGGACACCCTTTTTAAGCTAATCCAATCTTCCTTCTTTCAACACTGCATTTCCTTAACCATTCACCCCAGGAATATATGACATGTATGTCAGCGAACAATACTACTTACATTCTAAATATATACCAGTCTGAAGAACAGGTGCAACACTATTTAGATGCATGCCTTTTTTCTTCTAAGCCTAAATTTGCCTTAGAAAGTGATTTTAAAACACAAACACCCAAAAGAGTTGAACAATACTTTAAAAAAGATGTAGTCCTTCTGAAATACAAGACATAAGTCCTTAAAACACCAACAATCTTCCAAAAGTTAGGTAAACCAACCTATCAAAGTTTCACCTTAAGACTGAGTCCGGCTCAATTATGAAGGATCCTGAGGATATTTAACTTTGCTTCCCCTGCGTGAGTTGGTAACGTGAGACAAGTACGCTTTACTCCAAGTTAATATTAAATCTTCATAAAGACGGCACAGATATTCTGGTTTGGCTTTTTATGTGTAAAGAAGGGGATGGAGGACGGCGAAGGGTATTCTAAAAAGAAAAATTCAGTACAGAGAAGCGTTGATGAGTCAGTCACTAAGAACTCAAAGGGAATCTAAGTGAATAAGGCAGCATCCCAGGTAAGAAGGTACTTAAAGTTGGCGGTAAGAAATGAAAACTTTACAGGTCAGCCGCAAGCCATTGTGCTCGGTAGCAGCCCTGGAAAGAAGCGTGGCTGTCAAGGAGTAAGGGTTATGAACTCCGGGGGAGGGGAGCAGACATGCCAAATCGGAAAAGGGGGGTGATCCGGGTAAAGGTGGTAAAATGCCCGTCCCAATTCCTCTTCTCCGGTTCTCCATCTCAAGAGGCACAAACAAGAGCAAGCTCAGTGCCCGACAGCCCCTCGCCGGACTCTCTCCCACAGAGAGGAACTCGGCCCCAAGCCCCGGAGACCCGCGCAGGCCGCCTCCGGAGGAGCCCCCGCAGACGCCATACTAAAAGCCAAAATGGCTGCCCGAAGGAAGCCCGCACCGCGCAGCTAGTGAGGGCTGGGTAACAAGCTTCTGCGGGAAGGGGGGAGGGGGGCTAGAGGAAGAGCCGTCGCCAGGACCATCACCCCCCCGAGCCGCACAGGTAGGTTTCTCTCGGCCTCCCAAGGCCTCGAGCTCCGACTGAGGAGAGTCCCAGCCCCACCCCCCCCACTCCCCGGCCGGGAACCCCGCCGCCGCAGCCGTCCCGCACACCGACCCCAGCGAGGTACCTGCAGTTCGGCCCGCTCCACCTCCCAGTGCGCCCGCTCCATCTCGAACCGAGCCCACTCGTGCTGGATGTAGTGCAGGATCCCTGGGATAGTGTACTGTTGCGGCCGGGACAGCTCTGGGCCTGCCGCGGGACCCGCTCCCTCGGCGGCCGGAGCACCCCCACCGCCCGCCGCTCCATTCCCCCCGGGCGAAAGGCTCATGTTCCCCCCAGGTCCCTGCTGCTGCCGTGGAGGGGCCGCCATCCCGGGGCCGCCACCACCACCTCCGGCGAGCTCGTCCATTGTGTGTGGGGCCCCGGCCGGGGCGCAGGGCGAGACGCCGACCGCTGGGGGAAGGGCCGGGGAGGGTGGCCCCGCGCTAGCGGCGGGGCGGAGGCCGGCTGGGAGAGGGGCGGGGAGGGGGTTGTTGCTGAATGCCTGCCGTAGGTCAGAGCAGGGAGCTGCCGGCCGCCGCCATTACAGTCCCTCCTCCATCTGCCAGTTTCACTCACTCACTTTAGGGGAAGGGGGGGCCGCGGCGGGAGGGGGAAGGGGGGGCAGGGTTGGGAAGGAGAGAGACGTAGGGCCGCCGCTCCCGCGCAGCATGCCGGGTAGAGAACGCCACTGCCGCCGCTCGCCTACTAGCCAAATAGAGTCCGGCCTCACCCTACGCAGGCGTACTGAGGACGCAGTCGGCTTGCCGTTAGAGGCGGGGAAGGAGATTCGGCCCCGCCCCTAGGCCCGCCCGCAGGCTCGCTGCGGGATTCTGGCGGTGGAGTCCGGACGGTGGGCCGTCGAATCCAATCTTTGGAAGAGAGTCGGTCTCTGCTTTCCCAGGAATCCGTATCCCTCTCTCAGTCAGTGCCCAGCGCCGTTCCCTACCCAAAGGTCTCAGCGGCGCGCCTGCCTTTGGAGCTGGGTTTTAACCTGGTTGGTCGCTCTGGCCGGCCGATCCCGGATTCCTGACGTTTCTTTTGCATTCCTTGCGTGTTTTCAGGCAGTCCCAGAGGGTCGGGCCTTTTTCTCTGCCTGTCACTCTCTCTTTCTCTGGTTTCCTAGCACCAGGCAGTTCCCGGGGCTTTGGGGACGTTCTCTTTCGGCAAAGAGCCCAGATCTTCCCGGACGTGGAGACTGATTCTCTGTCTCTGGGCTTTGCTCCCAATTTTGTGCTCCCTGTCGCGCGTCGCAACTTGTACCGCTTTGCCTCCCTTCTTTCCTATTCTGGGGTGGGTTGTGTTTGGGGAGTTTGACAGGGGAACAGTAGCGATTGTCTTCATTTTTTGGGGGGAGAAGAGAAGATGAAAATCTTTAGATCTTGATAGTGGGCAGAGGGAGAAAAAAACTGGAGGGGACTGGTTAAACTAACAATTTGATATTTTAGAAGTGAATGAGCTCACAAATATTGTCATTCATAGCAGAATCTTTTGATGGAAATAGAAAATAAGAGCATTGTGAAGACAATTTAAAACCCTAGATGAACGGCTAAAAATGTTTTCCTGGGTTGTTTTAGTGAATGTAATATACACATAAAAGACAAGGTTAATCTTTTAAGTACCGTAGTGTGTGTGTTTATGTGCTTAGGTTGCACGGAAACATCCTTAATGAACTAGTAAGTTTCTAAAAGTTAATGTAGCTAATAACCATTTGGTCAAAAAATAGGACAAAAATGATATTTAACAACAATAAGGAAAAAAGATTCATTAATTACAGCTATGCAGGAAAATCGCATATAACATTTATTGCATTCAAATTTTTCGCTTCTCTACTACCAATAAAATTTTCACTATGGAATATACACGACCACTCGGTGTAATTTCCAAGAGATAAAGTAGTACATCTTATTTTATCATGTCTGCTTTACTGTTATTATAGTTTAACGGAGAGTGCATTGGACTTGTTACCCATGCTGCCATGTTTTATTTATGTATGAAATGATGTCTGAGGTCGCAGAATTATTAAGAACTATTTCTCCATTTCATAGCAACCAACATACAACCTGCTCATTCAATCTTGTTCATTTGCGAGGGGCCTCAGAGCATGTAAAAAGTGCAAAAATACTGTCCTGCCTCAAGACCCATATACATCAAGAAAAATTTGTGAGAGGGTGTGACTGATCTCCCTTACATTGGCATCAAAAGAAGAGGAGCATACCCACTAATATTTCCTGCTGGTATGTCAAGTTCAAGTAAAGACTGGATTTATAATCCTTTTTCCTCCCCACTCACCTTCAAAAAAAACCAAACTCTGCTCTTCTATTACCTATCATATTAAGTGGCACCACATTCAACCTGAGGCCTGGCAGTCATTCTAGGACCTTTCCTTCACTTGGTCCCCTCATCCAATCCCTTTCTCAGTAATATATTTTATATTTATTCCATATCTTCATACATGTCTTAATTTAAACCTTCCCACCTTTACTGTTCCCCCGCCTTCCACTACCACTGATGCCTGAGTGATCTTCAAAAGTCAGATCTGATCCTATCATTCCCTGCTTAAAATATATTAATGATCACCAGACTTACAATAAAGCCCAAATTTTGGCATAGTATATAAAAGTCCTTATTGCCTAATTTACCATCACACCATCATGGTATCCCATTCTCTCCAGCTAATCTGCAGCACCATTTTGGGTTCCTCCAATGTGTAATGCTGTTTCATTCCACAAGAATTTAATACATGCTGTATCCAACTGGCTTTGCTTCCCTTCTTCCTTCAAAACTCATCTCAAGTATTTCTTCCTCCAAGAAGCTTTCCAGATCCGTGAATTATTTAGTATAGTATACTAATAGTATCCCATGCTTAACTCCTAATACTTATTACATTGTATTTAAATTGTCTATATATGTACTCCTCGGTGACACTCATACTAAACACTATGAAAGCAAGACAGTCACATAACAGGTACTGCAAATATTTGCTTCACTTATTTACATTTTTTTTTTTTTAATTTCTGGATTGGCTACTATTTTTCAGATGCTCTGTTAGTCGCTGGTGAACCACTGTGAATCAAACAGATATAATCTCTGCCTTCACAGACTTTCCAGTCTAGTTTTAGGCAAATTACTTAGCACCAAGCACCCTTACTTCCTCAAAGTCTTATCCAGATCTGTCTCTTACACTCCCTGTTTGAAGAATTCCAGTTGAACATGTCTGGATTCACTTTGTCCATGGTTTTATAAATGTCAACAGTGCAATCCTAAACCATATTCTTCCCAGATCATAGTCATTTATCTGCAGGATTGTAGCCTCCTAGAGGGGCAGGACCTATGCCCCTCTTGTTGAAAACTGTACCCCCAGTGCCTGGGACAGTGAAATCCCCAATAAATGTTTGATGAATAACTTAAATTCATACTAGACTAATATGGATATTTTTCCTTCACCTCAGTCTTTTTTTTTTTACCAGTTTTTGCTACCATTGTACCAATTATCTCTTGAGGTTCAATGACCAGAACTGTCATGAGCACTAATAGTAAAAGACACCAAAATTTTCTCCTCTATTGGGAGATTATTTTTTACAGTATTGATGTTGTGCTTTGTGTACATGACTCCAAGGACAGTCTGCAGTGAGCTCCTAGAATCTTGTTCTCTGTAGGTAATGAGCTTTCCCAGGCTCACATACAACTCACCTAACTGGAATTCCCTTCCTAAACTGTGACTGAGTCATTTCCTCTTTTCAGCATCAACCTTTGAAACTTCTTGTTTGTTCTGTCCTTTCATCAATCTTGTTCATTTCTCCTCCACTCCCATTGATTCTCTCAGTTTCAATGCCTGCCTATTTATATCTTTAATCAGTTTAGAATTTTAAGGGTTTTTTTTTCCCCATTAGCTAATCTTAGACACCTGTGTTTTTATTCTACCTGACCAAAAAGAGACTTGTCACATTTCATGTGCATATATTATATCAACAAAAGTATGTTAAGGAATTCTAGTTTTTTAAATACATCAGAGTGGTTAACACTCAGATGCCTTCTTCCCAGTTATTGCAATACCTGATGTACAAAGTGTTTTGACCCTGACTTTGAGAACTATGTGAATTCCTTACCAGACATCATATTATTTCATTGGTACATACTTCTCTAGGCATCTTTAACAGATTTTTTCTTTAACATACCACTATACCATTATCACACCTATAAAATTAATGGTAATTCCATTGTACAGTCATCCTACTAACAAAGAGCTCAGACTGGTTCATAATCACTGATCTAGTCATCTTTTTCCATCATCTGAAAAGACTGTGACAAGTATTCTTATCTCTATGAAGAGAGAAAGCTGAGATAAGAGTTCTGGGTAACTTCCGCAGCCCTTAGTAGAATAGGAAGTATTCCTACTCTTACATCAGTGAGTATACATGTTTATTTGGAAACAAGAAATAAAGTCTCCCTTTACAATTCTGCCTCCTTCTGTCCTGTCAATGGATTTAATATTACTACCTCTGGCTCCCAAATCATTTGCACTTTTGAAATCATGTTTTAGGTAGTTTCAGGGTGATTCAGTCACTTGGGGAAACTACATAGGGTTTACATTTATAAATATAGAAAACAAATGAATATTAGAGCCCAGAGAAATATCTTTGAGAAGAGTTGGCATGTGTTCAAAAACCAAACGAGCAAAGTGTATAATGGAGATGGAACAGAAAAGGAGGCAGCTTTGACCTGCACTGTGGTTTAACCAGCATAATAAGATCAGGTATCTACTTTTCATTAAAGCAGTTGCTTGTGGCTAAGAAAAGTATAGAAATATGTGCAGGATACCTGAACTATTCAAATAGTATATTGTGTGGAAAAGAAAAGGAATAGGACCTTCACAGATTACAGAAAAATAGGCACCAAGACCTTCAGGAAACTGTGCATGCTATATAAAATTCTAGTCCAAGTTCATTCCTGAATTGTCT